GGGGCAGAGAAAAAGAGGGAGAGAATCCCAAGCAGGCTCTGCACTGTTGGCACAGAGCCCTACCTGGGGCTCAGTCCCACAAACCATGAGATCATGACCTGAGCCAAGATCAAGAGTCAGATGCTTAACTGAGCCATGCAGGCACCCCTAAAATGGTGTTTCTTATATAGTGTGATTACTTTGTGAACTTTTAACTTAAGTGCATGAAATCATAACTTCCTAGTGTCCTAATATTTCTGAAGTTATCCAGTTGATGGTTTAAATTAGCAAATAGATTTTCTCATTCTTAAATCTCTGCCTTCAGTCAGATTTTTAAAATGGTTTAAAAATGTTTAAAAATGTTTTAAAATCTTCACATCAAAATGGAGGTGCTGTTTCTGTCACTGAGAGTCTTATGATTTGAGACTAGTTGTATGTAATTTATATGCTAATACCTAGAGAAGAACATTTTTCCTTAGAAAATAAATCAAAGACAGGTGGCCAAAGTCAAAGCCAAATAAGACAAGGAAACAAAATAATTCCCTTCAAAGGCCTTTGAATCATCTGGGTTTTTAGATTTATGGGTGGTGAAGATCTTGCATTGTGATAGTGGGTTGCCTCATCATTTGCCTTTCTTTTCAGTTAACTGCGTGTATTAAATGTGGATCTCCTATAGGAATTCTGATAGTGGAACAAGTCTTTTTTCCCTGTTCCTCAGGGTTTGGATTCTGGCAGTGCTGCATACTGTAACCTTTGTTAAGTCACTCAACCTTTTTGATCTTCATTTTTGCTCATATGGCAAATGGAGATTATACTTTGCTCTTAGGGTTGTTGTGAGGATTAAATGTGCGTAAATTGTTTTGTGCAGTGCCTGGCGCTTAATATCCATAGCTGCTATTATTAATAATTATTAGTGTCAACTATAACTTTTTTTTCCTGATTACAAAAGTAATGACATTATTTTAAATGGAAGATATGGGAAATGGACAGAACAAATAATCCTCAGTAATACCACAATGTGTATTGTTTTATATACATATATTTCATATTATCAAGACTATTATATATACAGTTCTGCATCTGTCACATAGTATATTCAGAGCATTTGTTTTCTCATATGATAAATAGTACTTTGGGAATATTTTGAAAGGTTACATAATACTCTGCTTTATGAACAACTATAATTTATGTAATTCTTCCATTATTGTTGGGCGTTTTAGGTTTCTATTATTTAATAATTTCTTTAGCCGTAATGGGGTGTCTGGGTGGCTCAGTCAATTAAGCATTCGACTTTTGATTTTGCCTCAGGTCATGGTCTCACAGTTCATGAGATCGAGCCCCAGGCCAGGCTCTACACTGACAGTGCAGAGCCTGCTAGGGATTCTCTGTCTCACTCTCTCTGCCCCTCCCCTGCTTGTGCATGTGCTCTCTCAAAATAAATAAAAGATAAATAGTAATAATTTCTTTAGGATGAATTCCTAGAAGTACAGATACTGGATCACATTACATATGTATTCATAAGACTCATGGTATATATATTGCTAAATTGTTTTCTGGAAAGATTATTTAAATATATTCACACAGCAGAAGTGTAAACTCTTAGTAGCACTGCATATTACAGTGTCTTTAGTAATACCTTTTTGTAAATTTTACTTGAGGCATAATGTATATACTAACTGAAATGAACAAAATTTAAAAGTTCACGGGTGATTATTCTCTGAAGTTAAATGTAGAATTTACAGTAAGCATCATTTACCATCTGTGGCAGATACTGGAGACTTAACCAGCATTCTTAAATAGAAATAGGAGGTTCTATTTCAGATTAGCTGAAAGTTCACTAGCAAATCAGTAAATGGTTTTTTTTGGGTTGTTTTTGCTGAAAATATTTCTGAAATAAGTATTCATGACTTAACCAAGTATACTGAACATAAGTGAATATTTTGTTGTTGATTTTAATGTTAATGTTTGAGGATTTTTCCAATTCTTTTTGTGATTATATTGGATTAGGCTGCTGAATTAGGAGTCAGGAGACTTGAGTTCTAGGCCTGATTGTGCTTCTGTAAAGAAATCACCTAAACACTTTGAACATTAGTTCTCTTGCTTTTTTTAAAAAAATATTTGAGAGAGAGAGAACGCACGCATATGCGAGCAGGGGTGGGGCAGAGAGAGGGAGAGTGAGAGGTGGAGAGAAAGAATCTCAAGCAGGCTCTGTGCTTTGAATGGAGCCCAATGCAGGGCTCGATCTCACAAACCATGAGATCATGACCTGAGCCAAAATCAAGAGTCTGATGCTTAACCAACTGAGCTACCCAGGTGCCCTATAGTTCTCTTATTTTTAAAATACATACAATAATGATCTATCCTAAGGCAGTAACTCTTTAAGTAAAAAGTTTTGTACGTGGAAAATAAATCTTAAAAGTTGTTGCAGAAAAAAAATAAGTTGAGGATACTGGCTAATCAAAATTTATTACATATTTTTCAAAACATGAAAATATGTAATTTTTTTTAATGTTTGTTTTTGAGACATAGTGTTTGAGCTGGGGAGGGGCAGAGAGAGAGAGGCAGACAGGATCTGAAGCAGGCTCCGTGCCAGAGTCCAGTGTGGGCCTCGAACTCACGAACTGTGAGATCATGACCTGAGCCAAAGTCGTCAGATGCTTAGCCGACTGAGCCCCCCAAGGTGCCCCAAAGACATTTTTAAACTATTTGCCTAAACTAGAACACTAGGTTCTATTTGACAGATTTTGAAGCATCCATATTGATGATTACTTGAAATACAAACTGTTGATGTCTAGATTGCCTAAAATTTTCTTAATGATGGACCTGATTGGCTGAACAAGTAAATTATCACAGATACTATTCATTTCAAGAGGGTTTTTTTAACTAAGTTTTTTTTTTTTAAGATTTTTTTTTTTTTATTTGTTTTGAGAGAGAGAGAGAGAGAGAGAGAGAGAGTCAGTCCCAAGCAGGCTCTGCGCTGTCAGTGCAGAGCCAGACATGGGACTCAGTCTCATGAACCGTGAGATCATGACCTGAGCTGAAATCAAGAGTTGGATGCTTAACCGACTGAGCCACCCAGGGGCCCCTTAACCAAGTTATTTTTGAAAAACCTTTTAAAAGATTGTTTTATTCTCTGTCTCATTTAAAGGTGAGCCGTTCGTCTTTGCTAATAGAACAGCCTGTGAAAAAAAGGCCTCTTTTGGATAATCAGGTGATAAACTCTGTGTGTGTTCAGCCAGAGCTACAGAATAATACAAAGCATGGAGATAATTCATCTGACACAGAAATGGAAGACATGATTGCTGAAGGTTTGTGGATTTTACTTAAGATACTGTTTAAATTAACTTTGACTTTTACTGCTTGAAACACAATATGGATTTTTATTCTACACATATTTTCACACTGGGAAGACAAAAGTAAATGGAAAGCTAATCAGACCTTTAATGGCTAAATAATTCAAATAGCAAGATGTTTAATTTGCATAATGTCAGATTGACCTTTGAAGGAGTATGAGAGGGAAAAGTTCCCCTATATACGAAAGTAGTTCAGAATTTTAGCATCAAAACAACCAGTTCTTTTTCTTTTTTTAAAAAAATTTTTTTTTTTTCCCAACGTTTATTTATTTTTGGGACAGAGAGAGACAGAGCATGAACGGGGGAGGGGCAGAGAGAGAGGGAGACACAGAATCGGAAACAGGCTCCAGGCTCCGAGCCATCAGCCCAGAGCCTGACGCGGGGCTCGAACTCACGGAGCGCGAGATCGTGACCTGGCTGAAGTCGGACGCTTAACCGACTGCGCCACCCAGGCGCCCCCCCAGTTCTCTTTTTCTAAGCAGACTGAGTTTGCTTAAAATTTTAAAACTCCTGGGTTGTTTGGTTTTAGGCTTTCCATATTCTGATGTTTGATGTCAGGTGGGAATTACAGTTGTATTAAGGATGTACCTGTCAATCAAGAAGTAATTAAATTTGTTCAAAGAGGAAAATATCACTAAATCTTCTTATTGTTAGAGACTCCTCTTTTAAAGACTTTAGTCTAATAGTGAATATTCCAGAATGAACACAAATACATTCAGAACTGATACCTTTTATTGATTCTGATCATGGTCCTGTCCTTGCAACACAGTTGAATCAAATAACATTCAGTGTAGCCAGGGCTGCACAGTAGTGGTTTTATAAACATCTGTGTCAAAGTAGTTGTCCTCAGTATCTTAGTGTATTTCATCTGAAATTAATTTTCACATGTTTATTGAGCATGTACTGTGTGCCTGTACTTTGCTAAATTAAACAAAATAGCATGCTGGTAAACAAAATATATAATTGTCTTTGCCCACAGTTTGCCTGATTATTAAAAGGAAGGCACCTGTGTCATTGTTACTACCTTATAAACTGTTGCAATACATTCATCCCTGGTTTATTTTTTATTTGAACAGGGAAGAGTATGATAGTATCAAATTTGGTTTTACTGCTAACTTATATTGAGATCAGTTTGGTTTCTTTTACTTAAAAAAATGTTAACAATGAAAAATTTCAAACCTACAAATCAGAATTGTATGATGAATCCTCACCCAGACTCAACACTGTTACCCGATTTCAAACATTATTTTTGCCACGCTAGTTTCATCCATCTCTTTTGTTTTCCTCCCTCCGTTTCCCCTTTCTTCCTTTCTGTCACTTTTCTCTTTCTCTTCTTTTCTTCCCTCCTCCTTCCTGTTAAAAAAAAAAGTCCTCATTTCATTGCGCATTTCTAAAAATATATACGGGGCATCTGGGTGGCTCAGGCAGTTAAGTGTCTGACGTCAATCAGGTGATGATCTCGCAGTTCGCAGTTCGTGAATTTGAGCCCTGTGTTGGGCTCCCTGCTGTCAGCATAGAGCCTGCTTCAGCTCCTCTGTCTCCCTCTGTCTGCCCCTCCCCCCTCTCAAAAACATTAAGGAAAACATTAAGGAAAAACCCACTAAGTTTAAAAAAAAATTTTAAATAAATAAAAATGCATACGTTTTCTTATATAATAACTATAATGCTGTGTCACATGAAACAATATTAATGGTAATTCTTTGAGGTCATCTAGTACCTGGTTCATATTGAGATTTCCTCAATTATATAAATTGTATAAATATCCTTTTATAGTTATTTTTCAAATCAGAATCCAACAATGTCTGCATTTTACCTTTTGTTATGAATTTAATTTCACTTAATTCCTGAATACTTTAGTTATACATACTATTCTGAGAAAATGTTTCATTTGAGCTGAAGAATAGTAAAGATGAATGTACAGGGATTTTTTTTTTTTTTTTTTTTTTTTTTTTTTTTTTTTTTGGCCTATAGCTACAATAAGTGTATATATGAACATTCTAAACTTAAAAGCACATATGCTGTCTTGTGTGTATACATTGGAGAAAAGTGGAAAACTGTTTAGGAAGCTTCACAGCATATGCCATATATTCATGGCTTATAATATAATAGACATACAGCATATGTTAGACTGTGCTAGAACCTGAGAGGAGCTTTTGACCTAGTAGGAACTGATGAATGTAAGATAGCTAAGGAGTAACATATAGTAAGTTTTAAATGAAGTATATAGACAGTATGAACTTGGGACTTTATTTTATTTATTTATTTTTTTTAAATTTTTTTTTTTCAATGTTTATTTATTTTTGGGACAGAGAGAGACAGAGCATGAACGGGGGAGGGGCAGAGAGAGAGGGAGACACAGAGTCGGAAACAGGCTCCAGGCTCTGAGCCATCAGCCCAGAGCCCGACGCGGGGCTCGAACTCCCGGACCGCGAGATCGTGACCTGGCTGAAGTCGGACGCTTAACCGACTGCGCCACCTAGGCGCCCCAAACTTGGGACTTTAAAATAAGTTTTAAAACTAGTTGAGATAAACCACATTGTGCTTTTATAACCACAATGAGGTATCATCTCACACAAGTCAGAATGGCTAGTATCAAAAAGATAAGAAGTGTTGGTGAGGATGTAGAGAAAAGGGAACCCTCATGTATGGTTGATGGGAATGTAAATTGATGCGATCACTATGGAGAATAGTATGATGGTTCCTCAGAAAACTAAAAAAAGACATAGCATATGATCTAGTAATTCCACTTTTGGGTATTTACCCAAAGAAAATGAAAACATTAATTTAAAAAGATATATGCACCCCTGTATTTACTGCATCATTATTTATAGTACCCAAGATGTGGAAGCAGCCCGTGTCCATCAATAGGTGAATGAATAAATATGTAGTATATATCACAATGGAATATTACTCAGCCATAAAAAAGAATGGAATTTTGCTATTTGTGACAACATGGATGGACCTATAGGGTGTTACGCTAAATGAAATAAACCAGACAATCTGATTTCGCTTATATGTGAATTCTAAAAGATAAAACAAGCAGGGGAGCCTGTGTGGCTCAGTTGGTTGAGCGTCTGACTCTTGACCTCAGCTTAGGTCATGATCCCAGGGTTGTTGTGGGATCAGGCTCCACATCAGGCTCTGTGCTAAGCATGGAGCCTGTTTAAGATTCGTATGCTCGCTCACTCTGTCTCTCTCTCTCTCCCCTCCCTCCTCTCCCTGCTCTCTTTCTCTCTAGAAAAATAAAAATAAAAAAATAAAAAAATAACCACAGAAAGAAATAGACTTATAAATATGGAGAACAAACTGGTGGTTGCCAAAGGAGAGAGGAGGATGGGAGGATGGGTGAAATTAGTGCAGGAGATTAAAAGGTACAGACTTCCAGCCATAAAATAATTAAGTCACATGGCTGGAAAGTACAGTATAGGGAATATAGTAGTATTGTTACACATTTGTAGCAAGTATTTCATAATGCATATAATTGCTGAATGACTATCTTGTGTACCTGAAACTAATTTGTCAATTATACTTCAATTAAAAAAAAACCTGGTTGATGGAATGTTCTGAATATGTCTGTTAAATCCATCTGGTACAGTGTGTCATTCAAAGTCATTGTTTCCTTGTTGATTTTCTGTTTGGATGATCTGTTCATCCGTGTAAATGGGGTGTTAAAGTCTGCTACTATTATTACTGTCGATGATATCCTTTGTATTTGTTATTAACTATTTTACGTATTTGGGTGCTTTGACATTGGGTGCATAAATATTTACAATTGTTATATCCTCTGTTATACCCTCTTGTTGGATTGTCCCTTTTATTATTATATAGTGTCCTTTGTCTCTTCTTACAGTCTGTTTTAAAGTCTATTTTGTCTGATGTAAGTATTGCTATCCTAGATTTCCTTTGACATCCATTTGCATGATAAATGTTTCTCCGTCCCCTCCTTTTCAATCTACAGTTGTCTTTTGGTCTGAAATGAGTCGCTTATAGGCAGCATATAGATGGGTCTTGCTTTTTTATCCACCCTGTCACCCTGTGTCTTTTGATTGGAGCATTTAGTCCATTTACATTCAAAGTAATTACTGATATGTGTTTATTGACACTTTGTTACTTGTTTTATGGTTGTTTCTATAGAACACTTGAAAAGAATGCAAACTGGTACAGCCACTGTGGAAAACACTATGGAGGTTCCTCAAAAAATTAAAAATAGAACTACTCTCCATTCCAATAATCGCAGTATTGGGTATTTCCCCCCAAAATACAAAAACGCTAATCCAAAGGGATACATGCACACCTATGTTTACTGCAGCATTATTTATAATAACCAGCACTGGAAGCAGCCCAAGTGTCTAGTGATAGATGAATATATAAAGAAAATGTAATATTTACATACAATGGAATATTATCCAGCCATAAAAAAGAATGAAATTTTGCCATTTGCAACAACATGGATAGAGCTAGAGAGTATCACGCTAAGTGAAATAAATCAGTTAGACAAAGATAACATAAGATCTCACTTACATGTGGAATTTAAGAAACAAAACAAATGAGCAAAGGAAAAAGGAGACAAACCAAGAAACAGAGTCTTAACTATCAAGAACAAACTGATGGTTACCAGAGGGGAAGTGGGGGAACTAGGTGATGGGATTAAGGGTTATGCTGATGGAAGACAACAGCAACAACAAACCTGGTGGAGATTATTGCCAGTTTGGTAAATTTTCTGTAAAGATGGGATTTGACCTGGGATGATAAAACACAGATTTAAGTTAATGAACAGGAAGAACCTTTTAAGTTGGAACCATGAATAAATGTACAAAGGATGTGCAGTAACTTCATAAGGGGGCAGCAAAAAGTAGACTGTTAGGTTAGAGAAGTAATGAGAAGTAAGACTGGCAGAATCAGATTGTAGAGCATCTTGGATATTTGACCAAGTAGTTAGGAGTTATCTTTTCAAGAGGATGGTTACTGAAGATTTTTAGGCAGGTAACATGAAAAGAGGGTTTTTGGAAACTGCTGGTCATCTGTAGGATGAATGTAGGTTTGGCATGTAATTGATACTTGTAGTTATGTTGAGAAGAGAAAGGAAAGGATTTATGGAGGATAAGGCAAAGGATAGTTTAACAGGGTAAGTTACCAGAGTAAGGCAAAGAAAGATTTAAAGATGATTAATCTGAGCAAGGAGTAAGTAGTAAATAAACCATAGAGATCTAATGCATAATATAATTGCTTGGAGACTAAAACTGAAGTATTCCAACCACTAAACAGGAAGGAAAGCAGGGTGATGGAGGTGCTAAATATTGCTACAATAGCAGTCATCATATATAAATGTAACACATTGTACATTTAAATTTGCACAGTGTTATAAGGTAAATGTAGTCCATGAAAAAGACGAATCTGTTTCACAGTAGAGATATTTACATAGAATATGCCAAATTTTTAAATATTTCATTTAATTTCCCAAGGTAATTTTATAAAGTGTTTCTATTACTGTGTACTTCACTGTTTATGGGAAGTACTATAGGGTGAAATGGTGAGGTCATTTATTTAGTGGCTTTTAGTAGTATATACAGTTTAATTCAGTAGAATAAAACTTAGTGTAAGGATTATTCTGGCATCTAAGCTGCCAGTGTGTTAGGGCTCTGTCATCCCTAGAATGTTGCTTTCATTTCTAAGATAGTTAATCTTCATTTTCACATTCTAAAGAGTGAGTTGGGGGAAGGGGCATCACACGTCATGAATGGCCACACCTTGGGCAGAAACTGTAGTTTTTGTTTTCAGAGACCCTATGTCTTGTTACAAATTAGGATTTGTTGCTGTAGGAGAAAAGTGAAGAATGGAAGGGGGAGAATTACCAGCTGTCTTTGCCATAGACTCCTATCTTTATTAGCTGAAGCAACAGTTTTTGAACTCTTTTGGCTCTGTAATTTTTTATTCACCAATGTAGAAAAGTAGACTTGTTAACATTACCAAATTTGTTAAAATTCTGACAAACATTGGAACAGGTTTTTTTTTAATTTTTTTTTTAAATGTTTTTATTTATTTTGAGACAGAGAGAGACAGAGCATGAGCAGGGGAGGAGCAGAGAGAGAGGGAGACCCAGAAACCGAAGCAGGCTCCAGGCTCTGAGCTGTCAGCACAGAGCCCGATGCGGGGCTTGAACTCACGGACTGTGAGATCATGACCTGAGCCGAAGTCGGACGCTCAACCGACTGAGCCACCCAGGTGCCCCGAGGAACAGATTTTTGAATCTGTTAATGTTCCTCTCTTCATTATGAGAAATAAAGCTGATGTTCATTTTTTGTTAGGTTGTTAGCCCTTAGACCATACCTGTTTGGACCCAAAACATTTCTTCTTCTTTATAAGGTATTCTAGCCTATTATCACATGTTGTATATTGCGACATTAATTAATAGAAACTTTTTAAACAAAGCTTTCAGTGTAGTCTGGAAGTGGAACAATTTGATGTCCAGACTCTTTAGGGCCAGATTGGTGTCAGTGGTAGGTGACTGAGAGGTTCTGTCTCCTGTATAGGCTTTTCAAAGTCAGTTCAGGTTTCAAGCATGACAAAGTGAAAACAATACTGGAAGTTGTGACATCAGGTCCCAGGAATGTGTTGTTGAGCCACAGTTGTGTAAAAGGCATTTCTAGGTCATTGGAAGGAGTAATTTTAGTTTTACTTCTTTTGAGACCATTTCTTCTTCATTGCTACTCAGCAGATGAGTTTTACTTATGAAGATAGTCCTGAAAAAATTTTTAAAATGACCTCTTGCTAGTTCATGATTTGATCAGTCATGATGATGTATTTGGATGTCCCCTGGAACTTCAGATATTTCAGAGTATGTTTTTAGTAGCTGTAGCCGTCTTATGTTGCTTTAGCACTTTGCCATTGCTTCTCCAATAACACTAGGATAGACTGCCTAAACTTCCTGAGAACATGTCATCCATGCCTACATTTCAGAGTCTCTTTATCTTTTTTTTTTTTTTTTTTACCGTTTATTTATTTTTGAGACAGAGAGAGACAGAGCATGAACGGGGGAGGGTCAGAGAGAGAGGGAGACACAGAATCTGAAGCAGGCTCCAGGCTCCTAGCTGTCAGCACAGAGCCCGACGCGGGGCTCGAACTCACGGACCGTGAGATCATGACCTGAGCCCAAGTCGGATGCTTAACCAACTGAGCCACCCAGGCGCCCCTGGAGTCTCTTTATCTTAATAAGCCTTTGGTTAAATGAGTAACATAGAAAAGCAAACATGGAACTCATAGCTAAAAGCTTTAATTAGTAAAGTGTGTTTCGTGTATTTTACATAACGTGGCCTAGGAATTATGGTGACGCAAGAACATGGTAGAATATGGTGGGTTTAAGAATGTTAACAGTTTTTAGTTCTTAAGTACTTATTACAGGTCTTGGTACTCTTAATTCTTATGTGGAAAATAGGAAATGGAATTGCCTCTTTTTTATGCCTACTGTCGTCATTGCAGTTCTTTGGGAAAGGTACTATAAACCCCATTTTACAGATGAGAAAGCTGTGGGCGATGAAAATTAAATTGCTTGCTGCTGAATACTGGAGGATTTAGGTAGGAGGTTTCCTTGGGTCTAGTGCTATGGCTTGAAGAAAACTATGGATATGGGGGGGCGGGGAGGGAAGGATATTCTAACTTAATAGTGCTCTGACAAGAAGGAGCAGAGGTTAGAAATGACAAAATTATTTGTGATTTTTAAGATTAATATAAATTATTTTTATTTTTATACGATACATATAAAAGGGACTATTTTATAATTAGGTATCTGTATCTTTATATTTTCTGTTATATATTGCAGATCTTTGAAAAGGTTAATTATCTTATATGCTCCTCTGACATCAAGTATATTAAAATTTTAGCTCCTCTTTGAAGGCATCCTCGTCTCCAGTTACAATGAAGTGTTCTCTGCTATATATCTTCATAGCACAGGGAACCAAAATTCATAGCCTATACAGTGCTTTTTGAAAGTGTTCCTCCTGAAGGTTACTTACTCATCTTCACTTCTTGTAACACTGCTCAATAAAGTTATTTGCACATTTTAGGTATGTTGGATTCTTAGCAGAATGAACCTTTGAAAATGCATTGCTTACTTATATAGAGAAAATTCCATAAAGTTTTTATAGAGGAGCAAGAGGGAATTGATGGATGCAGTTGCTTTTGTAGTATCTTCCTTGCCAAAGTGATTGTGGATTGAAAAGTTAAAAGACCATTCCTTTAAGTTTTCTGGAGGGACTGAACTAGCTGCATCCAACCAAAGTAGAGGCTTAAAATTTGCCACAATTAAATTTTTGGAAGTTTTTTTCCTTTGTTTCTTTCTTTTTTAGAGACATTAGAAGAAATGGACAGTGAGTTGCTCAAGTGTGAATTCTGTGGGAAGATGGGATATGCTAATGAATTTCTTCGGTCAAAACGATTCTGTACTATGTCCTGTGCCAAAAGGTATTTCTATTCTCTTGACTTTCCTAAAGCATAAACCAACAACTACTGTAACAAAACCAAAAAACTTGTAGAGTTTACCGGTGGCCAAAACTAGATATTGTAATATAGAGGAAGAATATCAAATAGGCATTATCTGGAGCTACTTTGATATTTAGTTATTAAATTTTGTTCTGTGAAAATTACATATTCATAACATTTACAGTGAGTTTTACAGCATATTCTGATACTGAAGTAGCAATCTCATGTTAAAAATATGCTTAGGAGAATCTCTCCTGTGAACGGACAGACTACTAATCCTTAAGGTGTATCAAAACAGTATTTCTTTTATCACCTGGTTGTTGGTCAGTATTAAAATACCAAGATTTACTTTGTTTTTTGTTTATTTTATTTTATTAATTGAATTTTAATTTTATTAGAGAGCCTGGGGAGGGGAGAGAGGCAGAGGGAGAGAGAGAATCTCAAGCAGGCTCCACTCTTAGTGCACAGCCCAATGTGGGGCTCAGTCCCACGACCCTGGGATTGTGACTTGAGCCAAAATCAGGAGTCAGACACTCGACCCACTGAGCCACCCAGGTGCCTCAGGATTTACTTTTTTTTGTTTTAAAATGTTTTAATTTGTTTTAATTACATCCTATTTATTTTAGCTTTTTAAGTGGGACAGCTGTAGCACAATTTCTCCACATTGTTACATTATCAGAGAGCAAAATATGTCTTATCTAAATCTCTATTTTCAATAGTAATATTATAGGTAAACAGTACTAATAACAAAAGAAATGTTTAGGGTCTTCGTTACTCTTGTCACAGATTTAGTTTACATTAAAAAAAAAAAAACCTGATGCTGATAATAAATCCTAATATAAGTATTCACCACTAGAGGTGAGGTGTATGTACAGATTATTTTGAAATTTGTTCTCTGTTCCAGGAAGTGATGATTCTCTCAAAGAATATAAGATCTTAATTGTTTACATCTAGGGATTTTCTTGCTTGAACATACTATCTAGTATGGTGCCACTTAAATATACTTAGTAAAACTTAAGTAAGTAATAGAAGTATTTTCCACCAAAAATGGCTTCATTTGGTTTCTCATGTCAATTTTTTATTCACATATTATCTCACGTTATTGATAGCCCTAAGCAAGTTCTATAACTCCTGTTTAAACTTGGGGGTTTTCCATAAAAAGACTAGTGGCTCTCTGGTTCTAAGTGATTAACAACTCTGAGGAGAAAGGGCAGCCTTTCATAATATTTTAAAGGTCTTGATTATTTAGAAGTTATTTCAGAACATTTAATGCTACCATCACTCCTCCCAGAGATGATTACCGAGTTGTCAAGTTATTCTACGTAGATGAATTTCTTTAGAAGGTTAGGGATCTTAACATAAGAGAAATACAGACAGAGCAAAAAAGAGAGGATAAATTAGGTCAGGGAAGAAATGCTGCTATTTACATGTCTGCCTTGGAGATTTAAATATTTAGGGACTAAACAGCGAGTGTAAGGTTAGTCTCTCTTCTCTCTAGTCTTGGAGGAAGGAAGGTTTGTGAATGGAAATTGCTATGAATGGAAATCAGAAACCTACAGCGCTGAGCCCACAGATCAGCATAATGAACACAGCTGAGCTTGTTGAATTGTTTTAGGGTAACATGAAGTGGCCATCAGGACACTTTTTGTTTTTTAAGTTTATTTAGGAGAGAGTGAATGTGTGAGTTGGGGAGGGTCAGAGAGAGAGAGGAAGAGATAAAATCCCAAGCAGACTCTGCCCTGGGCTTGATCCCAGGGACCCTGAGATCATGACCTGAGCTGAAATCAAGAGTCAGACACTTAACCAAATGAGCCACCCAGGTGCCCTGTGAACACATTTTTAAATATATATATATTTTTAGGGAAAAAATAGCTTATTCATTTTCATGGTACTCCTTCCACCTCCTGATATCTTCATAAAACATAGGTGAGGAAAATACACTTTGGTATCTGTATATTGGTCCTAGGATAGTTATCAATAGCAAAGTTAATTGGGATTTATTCTTGTCATTTTCCTGAGAAATCTTAGAGGAAGAGTCTTGACAATATGAAGTTACAGTGCAGTTTTTTTTTTAAATATTTTTAAGACCGTGAGGTGGCAGGGACAGAGGATCCGAGGCAGGCTCTGTGCAGACAGCAAAGAGCCCGATGTAGAGTATGAACTCATGAACCGTGAGATCATGACGTGGGCTGAAGTCAGATGCTTAACCAACTGAGCCACTCAGGTGCCCCTACAGTAGCAGTTTTGGATGTATAAAAAAAGAGGAACTGTATGTATTTTTCTTAGCCTTTCTTTAGCTTTTCAGAAATTTGTTTCTTAGATTATCTCTTCTGCTTTTTTTTTTTTTTAAGTTTATTTATTTTGAGAGAGTGAGAACGTGAGAGAGTGGAGGGGCAGAGAGAAGAGAGATAATCCCAAGCAGGCTCTTCACTGTCAGCACAGAGCCCAGTGTGGGGCTCCATCTCACAAACTGTGAGATCATGACCTGAGCCAATCTCAAGAGTTGGATGCTTAACTGAGCCACCCTGGGCATCCCTTGCTCTTCTTTCTAGGGAAGGGGTTGGCAAACTGTACCCAGGCCAGGTCATCTGTGTATCCTGTTTTTGGATGGCCCCTGAGCTAAGGATTGTTTTTCAATTTTTAGGGGGTTGGAAAAAAGATAAAAATAATATTTCACGACACATGAAAACTATGTGAAATTCAAATTTTACTCTAAATAAAATCTTATTGGAACACAGCCATGCTCATTTATTGTTCATGGCTGATGGCTGCTTTCATGTTACAGTTACAGTGTTAAGTAGTTGTGACAGTCTTTTATTGTCTACAAAGCCAAAAATATTTACCATCTGGTCCTTTGTAGAAAAAGTTTACCAGCCCTGTTCTAGGGCCTTGAAGCCCAATAAACACTCACAGGACTTTTTTTAAACTGTCATCATGTCTTACATTAAAAAAAATTAGTCTATTTTGATAAAATGAAAATAATCTTCCAGCCAGTTTTAAAGAATTATGTGTATTTGAATTTCCTAAATAGAACTATGATGAATTTGTGCAACTTCAAAATCTCAACTTTACGTTTTCACTCTTTGATTTCAGTATTATTTGAAAAATCTTTTACTAGCCATTTGAGATTTCCCCCTCTCTACTATACTAACCTTTCTTATTAATCTCTCTTCAGAAACAATTACTTAGGAAAATAGTTTCAACATCTACACAATTAATTCAAACTTCTTTTTTCCTGGAGCCTTGAATTATTTTGCAGTAAATTGGTTATCCTCTATATCATGCTGTTATTAGGAGAAAATATCAATACCTATTGGTATCCAATAATGTATTGAGAGCTATATTATGATATATACAGAGACCATTTTTTGACTGTCACCATAAGTAAATCCATTGAACACTACTATGGTTTACTTTCTTTTTTTTTTTTTAAATTTATTTTAACGTTTATTTATTTTTGAGACAGAGACAGAGCATGAATGGGGGAGGGGCAGAGAGAGAGGGAGACACAGAATCAGAAGCAGGCTCCAGGCTCTGAGCAAGCGGTCAGCACAGAGCCTGATGCGGGGCTTGAACCCACAAACGGTGAGATCATGACCTGAGCCGAAGTCGGACACTTAACCCACTGAGCCACCCAGGCGCCCCTACTATGGTTTACTTTCTGAGGTATCACAGTCTTTAATGAAGTATCTGGCACTTACTGATTCACAAGTGCACTTTAAAGTCATAATTAAATACTAAATGGAGTGTTCCATATATCATTTAATATTTTTTCTTACTTGAATTTCTTAGGTACAATGTTAGCTGTTCTAAAAAATTTGCACTTAGTCGTTGGAATCGTAAGCCTGATAATCAGAGTCTTGGGCATCGTGGCCGTCGTCCAAGTGGCCCTGATGGGGCAGCAAGAGAACATATCCTTAGGCAGGTCTGTAGAAACCTTGCTTCAATGTACAATACCCTTTTCAGAAATGTAAGGAAAGTGCAATGCTGTATTTTACTTGTACTACATTTTCCAGCTTCCAATTACTTATCCATCTGCAGAAGAAGACTTGGCTTCTCATGAAGATTCTGTTCCATCTGCTATGACAACACGCCTGCGCAGGCAGAGTGAGCGGGAAAGAGAACGTGAGCTCCGGGATGTGAGAATTAGGAAAATGCCTGAGAACAGTGATTTGCTACCAGTTGCACAAACAGAGCCATCTATATGGACAGTTGATGATGTCTGGGCCTTCATCCATTCTTTGCCTGGTATGTAATTCACCACTTTGGCCTTAATATTTTTCTTGTGCATTCACACACAGGAATGATGTTAGATCCATCCACACCTATTGCACTAAAGGGCTAGAGAAGTACTATGTATATGTGTTAATTAAATGGCATTTGCTATTGAAATGTGATCTGTTTCCTCTTGCTTATTCCCTCAGCACAACTGGGTATTTTCTCATACCCCCCAAGTCGATAAAAACTGACTAGTCCTGCTTCTGCTGTGACACCTCAGCCGGTGAAGATATTAAAGGTGCTCTCTTCTCTTCAGTCTGATTTCTCTCGAGAGGTCAGTAGAGAGATTGAGTCAGACACTTCTTCCCTTCTCTTCTATTTTTCTATTCCATTTCCTCTTTATTTCCTAATTTAACCTTTTTTAAATAAAATAAGAGAGACTATATATATATTTTTTTCTTTTTGCATTTTTGAAAGCTAATCAAGACCTTTTAGAATATGATAACATTTTGGTTTCTTTTTAAAAAATCAAGCTGGTTCTTTTAAAGGAAGCTGCATTCCTTGATTCTTTTCAATAAGTAGACATCAAGAACACTTCTGGAATTTGATTTTTTAAGTAGACAACTAAAATTCATTTATGATATTCCATTCCAGTATTGAGGGTAACTTTCTTATTTATGTTTTTTCTGCTCTCTCATTTTGGTACTCTTTCCATCAGCTTAATTCTTTATGTTCTTTATCTTTTTTTAATGCAACAGTCTTTTATATCTACTTTCTCCAAGGGGCTGGTTACTAAAGATAATTGCAGCATTGCTCATGATGAGACCCACACTGATTATATATATTAAGAGTATATTTTTTTAAAATCAGCAAATCTTATCATTCATTCCATTATGAATATGGAAAACAAGGAGATTTTTTAAATGTTTGCTCCATTTTGATTTTATTGTGAATCATACTGTTTCTCTTGACACAAGCTTTCCAGAAAAGTATATTCCCTTTGAACTTGTCTACAGACTTAGTAAAATTAATCCAGCTACTTTTGCTGATTAATCTATGAAGGTAACCACTATCTCAGAAGCAAACCTACAGTTAATGTGCTGAGTGAAGAAAGTATATTCAGAACTAGTACTACTTTAAAAAAACCTGTCATTTTACCTTATATACAGAATTCTATGACATTTTATTGTTTTTTCTTTAAGGTTTATGCATTTATTTTGATGGAGAGAGAGTGGGGTGTGGGGCAGGGAGAGAGGGAAAGAGAATCCCAAGCAGGCTCTACACTGTCAGCACAGAGCCCAGTGTGGGGCTTGAACTCAAACCATGAGATCGTGACCTGAGCCGAAAGCAAGACCCGGTTGCTTAATTGACTTGAGCCATCCAGGCGCCCCATTTTATTATTTTTCAGTACCTTGTTTTAGAAATGCTAAATAAGTCTTTTTTTAATTAAACAAGTTATAGTCACTTTTAAAGAAAGATCGCAATTGTTTTAAAGAGAGGATACATTTTTCATAGAAGATTTTGAAGCACACACTTAAGAAAACTTAGGTGTGAGTTAAGCGCTGACCATAGAGGTTTTGAATCTGCTTTAAAACTGGTATGTTAGAGGATGGTGAGTTTTCACTGGTTGTGGTTTTAATATATGAGGACTGAAATAAATTTTAGTTTTTAGGCCAGTCTAGATATCATGAGAATTAACACTGGAATCTTTACTGATCCCCTGGGGCTTGACTTTGATTCTGTCCTCTTCAGAAGTAGTTTCCACATGGGGCGTGTGAACTGTTAGCCTGATTTCTCATTTGGGGGAAACTATTTCCTTTGGGAAAGGAGGGTTTGTTCATAACCTGAGGAAAGTAGTTGGTCAAATAATGAACAATTAATAGATATCTGATTCTTCTAGCATTTCATATGCTTTTTTTTTTTTTTTAGAACAAAGGCTAAATTCTTGTCTCATTCTTGCTTCTTCAGTTGAAAAAAAATATTGCTTATAGCTTGAGATGCTTGTCTTACTGAGTTCATTGAGACACAATTTTGCAAGTTATTCAAAGAATATTACATATCATTAAAGGGAAACTGCTTTATAATTTAGAATTGCTTGGTATTGTGTAAGTCTGCTTAATGTAACTCTGCTTTCCTTTTACTGATTAAATGGGACTATTTCCAAACTGCTTTGACAGGCTAAATAACAAGATTATCTGTGTGATCAGTTCTATCTTCTTTCACAAAGTTTCTCTGAGTAATTTATGTCTGTGACTTAAAGAAAATCTTCTATCAGAAAATGCTTTTGTCTTCATTTCTGTGTACTCCTTTGGCCTTTGTAAACTTGTTTGAAGCCTCTTTCAAGCTCATTCAGGACTGTGTTCCACCCCCCACCAAGAAGTCTACTTTCAAACTTTTCTCATAGAAGGAACGAGCTTATAAATTTTGTAATCTCTTATATTTTCATTCTTTCCAGTTGAGATAGACTTCCCTCTTTATTCAGGGCACTTATATTTACTCCTAGAGTTTGCTCTTCTCTTCGTGTAATATCATCTTGTGAACCATCCTGGTGAGACCATGTTAGAGCTGGTATGCTTTATACCCAATCTCAGAGCTGTTACCACAGTGAAAAATTATTTTCTTCTCAAGTTTTGTGTATTCAGAAGTTCTCTAGAGGAACGATTCTTGTTTTCAACTAACTGCAGTTCTCTTAACTCTTGTTACAATGCAAACATCAGTTTATTTGGTATTTATCGATTTGTGAATTTGTAGTAGATTCACTTTTTCTGTAGGCATATAAAGTAGGAATTATCTAAAAATATATGATTATTGGTTTTCATAATACTAATATTGGGACTTGTTTACATTGTGGCAAGTGATCTATTTCACCAGCCTGAAATTTTGTGTAGAGTGCTTTCATTTTGGGTTTAGCTGAAAAAGTGACTGGACATTGCAAAGTATAGTTGTGACTCATGTCCGTTTGTAGAGGCCGATGCCCATCTTGATAGCTGCTTCTGGTGACATAAACCCAACAAGGTGACTGGTTGCTGCAGGTAGGATATGTTTGGTAGGAGTCCCTGGGGCACCAGCCATTTTACAGAAGTAGATTCTAGTGTCAGAAACTCAATACCTTGAGCGTCTAAAAATTTTTTGAAAATTCACTTTTCTTTAATGAGTTTCTGGAAGAGTATTTGCTTCTGCCTCCCCACCCCCACTTTTTCTTTTTAAAGTAATTTTATTTTTTCATTTCTATACTAATGTATAGTATAACTACCCTTAGTTGTGGTTGGCTTAAGAGAGTTATCGATCCAAAATTCTGAAGATAATGCATTCCTACTCAATCATGTGGTTTCCCAAAACATTTTTTGTTCTTTATTATTTTGCTAATACGTTTACTTAGTACCTGAAGACATTTGAAGAGGGATCTCACAATACAGAGGAACAAAAACATGCTATACATTTCCTCATGGAAAACTCCTTGTTTCTATTCCCAAACGTAGCTCTTACAGTCCTCATTACTTCTCATTGCTCCTGTTTTCTGACTCTAAGTAAGTCCTGCCCTATCTTTCTCTCTCTTTTCTTTTCCTGTGTTCTTGTAAGTAAGACTGAAGAGAGAAGAACATTAGTTCTTTCATAAAAAGAAGGATGAAGTCACAACTAGATGCAAGATTAGTCAGTTTTGTCTGCCCAGTTTTGAGAGCTACCTCTGGGAAAAGAAAGGGAGCTTTCTATGGTGAGTAATCCCATTTTAACTGTATAATTTCTTTTATATGGTAAATGGCAAAGCTGTAACAGTCTGCATAGGGTACTTTTGAAAGGTCAGTTTTTAAGTCTGAGAAATTAAAATAGAGAAGTTAAAAAACTGGCTGCTATATATGAAACAGGAAAGAAACAACTAACAGAGAAGATGGGAAAAGAAATAACCAAGAGAAGGCCATACAGCTAAATACAGAAAGAAGTGTATTATTACTATTACAAATAGCTCCTCTGTGGCAGATTCTGTTTTTGTTCATTGTTTGTTTATTCACTCATCCAGTCCTTCACTTATACAAGAAAGTATGTATTTAGCCCCTAACAATGCTTTGAGCATGGTGCTGGGGTTCTAGGGATGACATCATTATCTTCTATAAACAAGAGGATGACACATTTGCAATAGAAAGGATAATCATTTCAGCAGAGTTGTGCTATCCAGGGGTGTAATATAACCATTTCTAGTTTTCATTATCTTTGTGTTTTCTCTTAGAATGTTGATTTGAATAAAACCGATTTTAAGCTGTTAGTTTTTATTCTTAAATTCATTTTTATAATTTCACTCTTAAAAGGAAGCTTCCACATTACTGCATTCTCTCCTTTCTTGGTTCCTTAACTCATTACCTTCCCTGGTTGTTTCCTTACCCTTCGTGGGGAAGTTTATTGAGTAACCTGGCTGTGCAGACTTTGGTAGATAATAAAAACGTTTGAGGTTCAAGTAGATGTTAGCATTGTTACCTGCTGAAGCACCTGGTTTACATTGAGAGATAAAATATTGTTTGGTAAGAGATTAGGCGGGCAAGCTCATGATTTCAATGGGGATTTATGTTTTCTTACCAAAAATGGAGATGAGTCCAGTGATGCTAAGATATGAAGTTGGAATACAAGTCAAGCAGTGTAATATATTTGAGCAGCATTACAGTAGATTGATACTACAATCTTGATGGTTTGGTTCTTTCCTGAGTGAAAAATAAAAATGTTCTAAATGTGCTTGGCAGTTGAAGGTTGGAAATTCGAATAAGGTACAAATGATGCTGAAAAGGGTACTCTGGTATTTGAGAAAACATTTCTAAATTGTTATTCACATGGCAGAACATTACATTTTATTCCTTCATATGTGAAGGTTTCTTATACAAAGATAAGTTCATGACGTGTAATAACTAGTTAATCCAATCTTGTTATATGTGTGGCATGCTTTGAGGTAATACATTATCCTTTTTGTCAAGGTAGGTTGTATCTGGACCGATGAATCTACATTTTTCCTGACTTTTACTAATTATTTCTATATTATTTTTAGAACAAGAATTCCAAGTAAATTGCTTTACCTGGATATCAAATTAATTCTTACTTTCAGAATGCCAAGAAATACTCTCTTCTTCAGGAGTGAACCCAAGACTACCCTAAATAAATTTCATTTGTTTCCCAGCCTGTATTTCAGATACTCAAACCCACTGAGAGAATAACTGTCACTGTTAAAGTAACACCTGGTTGTTACATAATAATGCTAACTTCCGTCCTCTGATCAAATTTCAGGCTGCCAAGATATCGCAGATGAATTCAGAGCACAGGAGATTGATGGACAGGCCCTTCTTTTGCTAAAAGAAGACCATCTTATGAGTGCAATGAATATCAAACTAGGCCCGGCCCTAAAGATCTGTGCACGCATCAACTCTCTGAAGGAATCTTAACAGGATCATGAAGCTGTGAGAAAACAGCAGTTTTACTCTTCTTAAACAAACTTGTAAGGTAAAGGCTCAAGCTGGCCTAGAATGTTATCATATATTGTGGTGGATAGCCAAGCACATTGGGATCTCCACATCAAAAGCTGATATTTCTTCTACAGATACAGTAATTCATCATACATTTTCTTAATTAGCCAACATTGGTAAAATTAATTTTACAGGTTACATGCAACATTGAAAGACTTGATATAGAGGGCCATGATATTTTTCAAAGAAACGTGTTATACTAGATAATTTTTTAAAGGTGATGTTTATCGTTAATATAAAGAATCCTTTTAAAAGTAATTTAATGATTTACATTTTTCCTCTTTTGATTCGGTTTTCTTACACATTTTTCTACCCTGTAAGTTTTCTATAGGTTGTCATGAGAGATATAATTTAGGAGTAATTTAGGAATAGTTTAGTAGGAGTCCAGTGACTGGAATTGTATGCAACGAGATATCAGTTGTACATTTTAAGAAACATGTCTGTCAGACAATTGCTTTGTCTATTAAAAGGATTGCATTCTAGCATGAATAATACTAATCTGGAAGTCAGAAGACTTGGTTTCTATTCCAAACTTGCCCAAGAATTTGATGTGGCTGAGAAAGTTAGTTTTCTTCTTAGTTTTTGTACATTTAGAGCAGTGGTTCTCAACAGAGGTCAGTTTTGCTCCCCAGGGGATATTTGACAATGCCTAGGGACATTTTGGTTGTCATAGCTTGGAGGGGTTGGGGAGGGTTGTTCTTGGCATCTGGGTCGTGGAGGACAGGGATGTTGCTAAATATCCCACAGTGCACAAGACAGTCCTCCAAAACAAAGATTCATCAAGTCTAAAATGTCAAGTAGTGTCAGGGTTCAGAAACCCTGATGTAGGAGTAATAAATGTTGCTCTTTTTTACCCAGAGGGTTAGTTTGAAAAGATGAGACATAATAAGGAATACATTATACAATGGAAGTATTTCAGACAGCATTAATGTTCTGCAGAAGTATTTTTCCCAGTTTTATGCATACTAGAAAAAGGGAAAATCCACTAAATTGACCTATAAAACTAAAATCCACTAAATTGACCTGTAAAGTAAGGACTAGCATACAAATAATTTGAGTCTCAGAAAGTACGAATTCATATTCTCTTTCATAGAGCAGCAGAGAGCTGCTGCTCTGCACTGATGAAGGCATAATATCATTATACCTTATGAACCAGTGCATAGCCTTTGCTGGCAAGACAGTAGTTTGTAGTGGATATGTGTTTGGTCTTTGGATTTTTTCTAATGTTGAACATGCTGGGTCTAGCTAGAATGCACATTCCTTTTTCCTTGACTAAACCTTTGCATGCTTCCTACAAAGTTCCCACCAACTAGTATCTCTTGGATTATCACATATAATTTTGTATGTACATGTTTTACAGAAAAAACATTTTAAAACAAAATTTTTCACTGAACAGTTAGTGTTCTATCAGAATTATGACATTAAAACAAAATTGTTGTGGGAGCCCTGAGAGCCTTATTGTCGGGAAATAAAAAATTTGTTTTAATCCTTTTTATCTTTACCACACGATGGAAATGTTTTAAAATAGAAGGAACATACACAGATATTTGGCAGACGTTCAGTAAGTGGGGAAGAGTCCATGGGTTTCAGTCATTGTCACTGCTCTTTTCAAAAAGATTGTGTTGAGCTAGTAGAAGACTAAAGATGTCATTAAGGACATCACAGATATTTATCTTTTGGCTTTGTGTACATTAGAGAATGTTGATTATTTTTATACAAAAATACAGCGGGTAATTTTTTTAATCTTTAGATGCCTCTTGTTTGAATGTATGCTTTGTGGGATTCTTTTGTGTAGTAATGTTTAAAAAAAAAAAAAAGATGTTTACTGATAGTTATGTGTAGGATTAGAATGTGTAATATAGTGTAAGGCTCAAGTTCCAGACCTACAATAGCTTGTAGTCTATGTTACATATTTCTTTATATCACATTGTTAATTATTGGATTAAAGTTTCAAGGAAAGGTAGGAACTCTATAGTCAGTTTTCATTTATTAGCAGTTAATCATTATGACAGTTGTCATATCGTTGGCTTTTCCCCCTCATCTTGCCGTTTCAGAACACAGGAATAGGCTAAGCATTAATAGGATGGTCCACTGTGTGCGGGGTGGGTGAAGAGCACACAGGGAAGTCTCCCGTGGAGTTAAAACTTTATCATAGATGATCCACAAGCAACTGATTTCGGGGTAGACTCCCTTAGCAATAATGGGTACCTCCCATAACTAAATTATCTGTATAGCCTTTAAGGTATTAGAACTATGTTACAGGTTCTCCTTTTCTTTACTGTCTCTTTTAGTATCAGTCATTATATACTGATTGAAAGCCCTTGTGCCTAGCACCATGTTAATATCCAAGAAAGCTTACCAGAAGGGGGATTTCCATTGAGAGCACCTTATAATCTTAAATCTTTTGATCTTAACAGTAGTCCAGATCTCTTGACCTCACTCAAAACATACCCAGGAAATATACTTGCTTCTTTCAGCTGAGCTATTTTGTTTAGAAATGGCCTCTTTGCTTTCAACTGGTAGTTTTCCCTATTGATGCAACTGTTTTTTTTTTTTTTTTTCTAGAGGATTTAATCTTAAAAATCAAAGCTTCAGTTAAATATGAATATAGATGATAACACTGGATGTCCATTTCTCTTCTAAGTTCTAAGCACAGTTCTGGTATGATACAGGTGGGGAGAGTATTATTTTCTGTTTCCATCATGCTACTAAATTGTTTTAGGATTTTCATTGATGAGAAGGAATGACAGAGAACATGGGAAGTTCTTCCTGTTTTTGCTAAGTGTACATTTTCTGACTTTAAACTGATGCACTCTTTTCCCTTTGAGGGAAGTAAAAAAAACCTACAAGTTTCAAATTTTATTTACTTTAAGCCATGTGTTCCTAAGAAAATAAAGTGAGAGAGTTGGTTGGTTTGTAGATGTTTTTGCATGACATGGATTCTCATCAAGCCTAGTGTAGTAGGCATGTGTCTGACAGGCTCTGCACCTTTGATGTAATCATTGTCATATAAGGCAGAGTACTGTCCCCAAACCTGTCACTTTTTGAGTGGCATCTAACTTTCCAGGATGGTACTTTTGATTTGCTGTGGCATCGCTAAACAGACATTTTCCTTAGTCTCAGCTTAAGGGCTGTCATGTAGGAGTAGAGAAGGTAGAATGAGGGGAAGACATGTTAGTGAAGAGGCGTGAGAATGGGAAAGAGGCAGACAAGAGACCTGCCACTTGGCTTGTCCCACTTCAACACTGAACGAATCTCTGCACTTTTGACGTTAATATTCATGATTTACCTTAAGTAGAAATGATTTTTTTTAGATAGCCCATTGTTTGTTTTTGTTTCCTAGTGTGTTGAAACACTTCCTTAGAACTGTCTGAAGTATTGCTGTGCCCATACCTTTGAATAATTTTTGTGTGAAATTATAGACATTTATTCAAATACCGGTCCTAGGCTGAAATCTGTCACAGCATCCCCTATCACTGACTTGTTCAATTAAATGTTATAAAGTCCCATTTGAATTTGCAAGGTTCTGGTACTGTCATGGCACAAGTATGGTGGGAAGGCAATATATAGATTGTATAGTCTTCGGTTGTGTTTATATGGGTGTAAACAGTTTGAGAAAGAATAAACTATTGTAGACGTACGTGAATGATGCTGCCCTCACAGCCATATTGAGTAGATGAAATCCCTGGCTGGACACACTGTTAAAATGTTTTAAAGACATTTTCAGCTAGAACAGACTGATTATATTTTGTGGCTTGAAGAGCCTCACCCTTAATGAATGGCAGGAGCACATGCTGCCTTGTGTGCAGCTGACACTGGGCATTGCCTGATAGCATGAAAGGGCCTCGCTTCCTGCTTTCCTCTCCTAAAGCCTATTCCAGCCCTAAGGGAACTGCGTGAAAACTTGACACTTTTGCCTGAAAATCCTTAGAGAGGATTTTGTAGTGGCGTTAATTTTAGGAAGGTAATTGGGGCAGGACTTTCTAACACCTAACAGTCATGTGTCAGTGAAACCTTTGGGCGGTGGACACTGGCCCAACTATGCAGTGTTTGTTCACTGTTTCCTGTGCACCATATATGTAGCTGGGCCTTAAGGAAGGTTTTCCAGGGTGAAGGATAGGGAAATGGAGGAAGTGACAAATAGGAGGAAAACATTCTAGACCCAAGAGGGTAATAATACAGTTAATGGAGTGAGGTTGTGTAGTATAGATAGGACCTTCAGTAGTTCAAAATAATACATTGTAATGGTTTGATCCCAGTTATAGCAATAAAATTCACCTGTAACCATACTCATTCTTTCACTCTCTGTCAAGTGATTCTGCCCCTAGGAGCATATCAGTAGTTCCAATGATACAGAAGCTAGTGTTTTTGACTTCCAAAAAAAAGGTGACAACTATTGTACTTGGAGAATATTTGTCAAAAACTCAAAGGTTAATTATTTATAATTGAGTTATTGGACCTATAGAAGGGAGTATCCACTTTCAGATACCACAGTTGAATCACCCTTGTAGATTGTTATAAAGGCATTTTAAGATAGTATTTTGTTAGATTGTATCTAAGAATTGGATGACTAAAGAGCTATCTTTCTCTTTATCGGTGTGGATTTCAGCGGAAGCCTACCTCTATTTCTTTGATGCGCAGTAGTGTGGATCATAAAATGAACTGTTTAATTCACATTCATCAACATTGGTATTTTATGAGTCTCTTTAAAAGCATTTGATTTCATCTTAAAGATTGTAATTTAGATAAGCACAAATACAGTATTAGGAAAAATAAATATGCAATCTTACTGAAATTTAATTTCAATCTATCATAAGCTGTACATCTTTAAAAAAAAAAAAACTCTTTGGAAAGATATTCCTCTTTTGTTAGTCCATAATATGTACACTATATAGTTTCCTTCATAGCAACAATACAAG